GACCCTCAGGTATTAACAGGGAATTCTGAGCACCCTCTGTGTGAAAGAGAACACAGGGCAAAAGAACTCAGTTACAAACCTTGAGTAATTTTAAATGTCAGATGTTGTCTCCCATTCACTCTAAATCCTTGTCTGCTTCTTCCCATTGGATTAAGCAGCAGCTCCAGGGAGCCAAGGATCAGACATGATTATTCCCATTGGACTTTCTTTCAGTTTTGCTTATAATATCCCAGAAAGTAAATCAATAAAGCAAAGATAAGGAACTCTGGTGAAAAATCAATGGAAGTTGAGATAAATATATGCAGTTACGTGTTTTCCAGGATGACTCACCCTGCCAAGCACCAGCCAGGGTAGGAAAGGAGCTGCTGCTGCTGCTGCTGCCTACTGCTCCTCACTCAACAGCAACCCTGATTGTGCAAAAGAGAGAAAAAGCCCTCAATCTTAGAATTCTATACATCTTAAAATATGGTTGCTTTTATAAACGAGGCTTTGGAATGTATGTGATGGTTCTCTCAGGTACAACAGGAGTGAGTGTGACAGCAAAATCCAAATTTCCACTGCAGAGGGACTTCCCTGCCACAGCACAGGGCACCCTGCCAATCAAAATATCTTCATTAGCAACTCCAGATCCTCATTCCTACCTAAAGGAGAGGAGGGAGGCTGAAAAGAGCAGGGATTCTCATCAGGGCTGTGACAGAGGGTGGCAAAAAAATGTGAGAGGGTGTCCAGGAATATTAGGGGAGAGGGGCTGGAGAGAAATGCAGGGAATCCTTTCTAAAAAACACTTGGATTTATTTAAAATTGTCTAAGAGCCCCTGCTCCAGTTAACTCTGGCTCATTTTTAACCTCTCCATCTTCACCAGCTGAGGTTTTCACATGAAACACTGGGAAAGAAAATCCCTCCAAAAGTAAACATTGGGAAAAGCTTGTTTTCTTTGTAAGGCCTTATGGAAAAATCTGAAGACATTCAGTGGACCCTGGAGACGCAGGAAGGAGGGGTTCCATGTGCAGGAACACGAACTGCAGCCAAATCCAGCACAGGCTGCTCTGTCACACACGTTTTTCCCTGCACTGACCACCCATTTCATGGGCTTTGTACCACCAGATGGAGCTGCACTGTTTGTGCTTTCAGACATTCCTGGGAACTCAGCATTTTCCCATCTTCAGTGCCTTTTAAACGTTTTTTTTTCTCCCCACCCTTTTAAACAGACTTTTCCCTCCCTCGTCTCTTTGCCATTTAAAAATCTGTTACATCAAATAAACTTTTCATTTTGCACTTCCAGCTCTCCAGACGATTCCGTCTCAGGGTCAATCACATCTCACTGCACTCAGCCAGCAAATGGCTTATGAATAATTAAAGCAGGAAGATTCTCTTTGTTCTATTTTATGACAAGATTGTCTTGGGTTAAGCCAGGAATTACTTGAATGAGTATTGAGCAGGGCCTGTATTCCTAAAGGGCGAGTTTGGAGCAGCCAGCTCTCTAAACAATGAGAAGTTCACTCCATTTTTATTCACATTTCTATGGCTTCTGTTTTTCCCAGCTAAGTGAAATACTGGATAAATTTACCAATGCAGTTACTATCCCTTATTAAAAATACTCATTGGAGACTCTTTAGTATTGATACAAGAAAAAGCTGAGCAGTCTCAGAATGATTCAACTTGGCTTTCCTTTACTGAACTTTGAATAAACCCAGATTACCAAAAGAAAACAGCAACTCCTGATCTGGGACCTCAAAAATGATCAATATTTGAAACTTTCCTGCTTCCACTGCATTGATTTAACCCACAGAGTGAGGGCTACAGGAAGAAATTCTTCTCTTGTCTGCACCACCAGGTTACAAACTGAGCAGGCCAAGTCCAGCTCCAACTGTGGCCCTGTGGCCAGGCCAGGAATGTGCCAGTCATGTTCCATCTCCTGCCAGGAAATGGGAACTGAAGATTGTCCCAGCAGCATTTCCTGCAGAGAGCCTTTAACCCAGGCACTTTAGACTGGATCAGCAGCCAGGTAGGTCGGGCTCAAAGCTCAGGGAGGGATGAGGAATTTCCATTTAGCAGCAGCTCAGAAAGGCACTGAGGACAGGACAGCACCCAGGAAAAAAGCAGGAGACAGAGGAGGAATGTTTTAACTCATCAGGTAAAATGGAGCAGAGCAATGATGATTAAATTAGCAAGGAAAGAGCACATGAGGGATGCAGGACAGCAGATGTCCTGGGAACTGCCACGTGCCAGGGCCATTCCCGGCAGGAGGGACAGGGAATTCTTGCAGGAATCTTGTTGTGCAAGAAAGCTGGGCTTTCGTTTTTCCAAACTTCCTTATTGTAACACTGGAACTAAACAATTCAACTTTCCCCATACTTGAGGAGAATTCTTACACGTTGGACTGCAATGTAAAAAACCCAACTCATGATTGAGTAGCTGATGGTTAAAGCAGAGGCAGAATCTCAGAAATTGCATGAAGAAAAGGAGAACAGCACCATGCAAAAATAACCAGCTGCTGTTAGAACTTGTTCATCAGCCACTTCTTTTATTCTTTCCCCTCCCATGTGAATTCATGGTTACACCTACACTGAAAAGTGTTAATCATAAAACTACACAGGATCCTGCCTTGCTGCAGACCAAGGCACAGAGCTCAGCACGGGTGACAGGTTTTATTATTCTTTATTTACTCTGCCACTTCCCAGAAACCAGATTATTCTATTTTTATCTCCTACAGGGCATGATTCAATCAGTCATTTTAAGTGTGTTTCACAGCTGATTTAAAACACTCCAGGGGACTTCATGGTCAAAAGGTAGAATGCCCAACTCAATTTTTTTTTCTGCTGGTAGTAGAACCTCAGATCTTTTATTTAATTCATGAAGAAATTAAAGTCCTTGAGGGGCACAGGAAATGCTAAAGGTCTTAACTCAAGGTCCTGAGATTGAGAAATCAGTTCTTTCTTCCTTCACCCTTTCCTGAAACTCCATGAGAAGATTCCAATCCCATTCTCACAGGTTTATGTTCTCAGGTCATGGAATCTGAACCAGAAATATGAAATTAGCACCAGAAATTCACCAGGAGCTGGAGGAAGCTGCTCTTTGGAACCACATCCCACAACTATCTCCAACTCAGAACGTTTTCAAAGCCCACAGGAGGAGCTTGTAGGTAAGATTATATAAATAATTTGATTTGGGTATATGCTAAAAGAAAAGGAAATTTTGGCCCAGACTCAAGAGTTCAGAGCTGCTCTCTTTGCATACCCATTTTTCTCTAGTAGCAGCTCTCTGGCACACACAATGCCAGATGTTTAAACCAAATAAAATTTCATATTTAATACGAAAATAAGAGTACTAAGAGGCAACTGCAACTGTCTGCATTTCAAATAAATGCCAAAGGGCTGCACATCAGCCTCCTGCCACAAGGCACTGTCTTGGCAGGGATTTTATGGCCAGCACAGGCAGGACACGGAAATTTCACACATGGATTGAGATTGAGGAAGGTAAGACAGATCATTGATTTTATTACAGACCAGACAGAGTCACATATGAAACATCTTTTGGAAGAAAAATATTCCACATGAGTGGAAAACCCCACAGCTACAGCATTTAGAATTGGAAACCACCAAATCTGAATTCCCAAATTTAAGCATTTCTAGCCAGGAGTTACTTACCAGTCTCATGCAGGCCAAAAGCCCAGTGCTCACAGTTAGGGAATGGTGCTGGTTAAGTAATGTCACCATCACATTTTCCAAACTCCCAGCCTTTAAAAACCTCTCCATTGAGGCTGAGAATTTCCATGTTTGGTACAAGACCAAGCCATGGATTTGGAATTTCTCTTGGTTGATGTGAAATGGAGGGAAAATCCACTTTTGTTTGGATCAGAACAAGAGATGGGACTTGACCCACAAAACCCTCAAGTCAGCCAATACCAAACTGTTGAACCAACTGCTTTAAAACACCAATCTGCTTCCCTGGGTATAAAATAATTTTTAAAAACATTTTTTTAGATAAAATTCTGCCTCATGGAGACTTTGTTCTTACTGAGAATGAAAATGACTTCTTACCCTGTCAATCTAACAGTGCCACCAGGGCTGCTGTGGCCAGATCCTCCCGTGGCAGGAACACAAAGATGTTCCACTCAATTCTTTCCCTATTAAAGGACACAAAAGTTTTAAAAGAAGTTACTCAGCGTTTTGCTTTCATTTCCTACTTCAGGTGCTCCACTCCTATAGCACAAAGCATTTTTGTGATGTGCACCTCTTGAACCATACTGGCTCTTTGAATTTGGAGTTAAATGCATATTCTGCCCAATAACTGACCATTAACCATTTAAAAAACACCAAACCATTTCTCTGGGGACAGCATCTCCTCCTCCTGTGTTCTTATTTCACAACTCAGAAGATGTTCTGCATGTTGAACAATAAGCTGTAAAACAGATCAGTCCAAACTCATGTCAAACTGCTTTATTACATCTTAAATAACATTACATTTTAATATAGTATCTATCTTGCATCCAGCTTTCTTGAAGTACACTGACTTTAAAATTAAATACAAAAGGTGAAGAGGGATACAGGGCGTGGAGAAAGCTCTACAGAGTAGTTTCATGAAAGAGAGTAAGAGGGAACTCATCTTTTATGCCAAATCCAGGCCTAACGCACAATTACAGCACATTTTTGTACAGAATGTTGCAGAAAAAACAAAATGGAGAAAAGCTACTACTGCTGCTAGGAAGGAGCATTTCTGGATACAGTGAGAAGATAGGAAAGAACAATCTGCTGTCCAAACACTGCTGCTTTTAACATTTTATTTGAAAAGAAAGCCAGGAAAACCTGCTCATTACAAAAATGACTCTGATCAGATGCAAAGGACTCATCCTGCAAGAGGAACTGGCTGTGAGGAACTGATTTATAAAGAAGATGGTCTAGGTTCCCTCCTCCCACACCCCAGAATCTTTGACAGCGATTGTTTGAACAGGCTGTTTCTTTTTCTTTTTTTTTTTTTTTTTTTTTTAAAAAAAAAAAAAAAAAAAAAAAAAGTGACTTATCACGCTACTCCAAAACGTGCATAGCTTCGTACTGGAGTTCTTCATAGATTTATGCACAGAGTAGCAACAATAAATGAATACAGCGACAATGGTTACAGTTTTTAAACAGGTTATTTCTTCAAAGAAAAAACATCTAAGGACTTAGTCCAATATGCACTTTTTAGCATTTCTACAGCATGCGATTCTAAGAGTAAACCCACCCAATATGGCAAACAATCAAAAAAGGTTTTTTTTTTTCTGTTTAACTTAGAAAGTTCAAGATCATTATTTTCAAAACATTGATTTGTACATCATTTCATACACAAAGAATTGACTCAATACCCAAGTGTAGGATAGGTCTCTTTTGAAAACAGAGATTCCTGGTTGTTGAGACTTATAGGATAGTGTTAGGATATATAAACTGCCCTTCCAAGTGGACAAACCAAAACAGATTAAAAAAATCAGTGTGGTGAAAAAGGGGGGGGCAGGAGGGACCAAGGATTGCATTTGTAATCCATAAAAGGTGAAAGGATTCTTTAAACAAGCATTCATTACCTTTTACAGCATGTGCTTGGTTACCTTACTGCTTAACATTATCCTATATATGCCAAGTTTTGTGCAACAATTATCTGTGATACTAGAAAATAAAAATAAAAAAAATTAGGGACTAAATTTACAGCGTTAACAACCCCCAGGTGCTCTGGGCTAGGACTCCCTTGTTTTGCTCAATTAAATACATAAGGAAATGTATTCAAAAAGGAAACTTGAAAAAAATCCTGCTACAAACATGACTTTAAAATTTGCAAGTGTGTGAGATAAAGTCCTTAACTTCAACTTGGAAACTACAGTGAAAGCTAACTGTTTCACAATTATGCTCAAGTTTATTTTCTGGTCATGCTTTTTATGATAGTGTTTCGTTTGTTTTTAAATTCTCAAGACAAAAAAAAATGGTCCCAAAAGGAATGCACAATTTCATTTTGCTTACAACACAGAAATTCTTCTTGGAAAGGTAATTGTGCTCTTCATTTCAGCAACAGGAGACGGAAAAGATCTTGCCCTTTGAAGTTGGGGAGGATGGGGGTCCAAGTTAGTATGGTTGGATTGGATATGCTATCGTTTTTAATTTTCAACCGTTGGAAACTTCTTCCAGTCGTGGAGTCCGCTGCTCTTCTGGCACACAGAAACATCTGGTGAGAGTGGCACTTTGAGAAACTGCAAACAAGGGCCAACACTGCTGTCCCCACCACTGACACATCCAGGCATTATCCCCCCCCCTTTCCCAAGGATATTTATTTATTTACTCAAAAACCCACACAGGGAATACAGCACTCCAAAATTGGCCACCACAACAATGTTCAGTGCATACATTAAAATAATGATCATCTAAACCCCCCCAAGTCTGCTCCTCACTGATTTCCTAACCTGAACAAGGAACAGCACTGCTGGCAAAAAGCAAAAAGCATCCTGGACCCCAAAGCAGCCTTAATGAGCTGGGTACTCACCTACTTCAGTTCCAGATCTTGAGGAAGCTGTCCCATGACCCTGTTGCCACTGCCATGCCATCATCAGTCACACCTAAGCAACTGACACGGTTATCGTGACCAGCAAGGACACCTAGAGATGAGAAATGAACAAAGAAATTGCATTGTTGTGGTGATTTCCTGCCTGTTCAAATCACACCACAGCATGTTTGGACTAGCCAAGCTCTAGAGTCAAAAATCCTGAACAAACACAGCTGGAATTTTTAAATGCCTTTGGTTCTACAAGCACAGACTCAGGACAGAGCTGGGTTCTCAAAGGGTAATTCAGTAAATGCATGACTCCAAAATTTTCCTTGTATATTCCCCATATTATATTGGTCTCCCATGAGATGTGAAGTGACAGCCCTGAAAATTCTGACAATGTCACCACAAACATGCACTGCACAGCTTCTGTTCCTCACCATAGTGACAAAGATCAGTTAAATTTTACAAAATGTAAACATTTGTAAAAAATTTTCTTTTAAAACTGGAAGTTAAACTGAATTATGTTATGAACTCTAAAGCATTTTTCATCCAATTTTTTCTTACTACATTCACAAGACAGACTCCTCCATACAATCTATTTGTCAATATGGAGATCTAATACAATTCAATTATAGCACCATTAAAAGAAAGAATTGAGACACTAAGCAGAAAAATTAAGGGAGACAACATTTTCCTCTATCCCCTTTAATTTAACAGCTTCAAGGAGGTAAAAAAGAAAACCTAATTATGTTCAAGCTTTCCAGTCCACAGCACTGAGCCAAGATATTCTTGATGGACTTGAAATTAATCTTTCTACATGAATTAGAGTGCTCACAGGACTCTCCTCATTCTCCCACCAGCAATAGGAAGTGCTGCAATTTGGTAAAACAAAATCAGCACCAAGAAGTCTTAAAATACTTGTACTGAACACACAACCACAGAGGTGTTTAATACAGAAGTGCCAATATCAGAAGATACAGAAGTGTTTAATATCAGAAGTGCCAAATCTGCCTGGCAACCTGAAGCCTTGGAACATTTCAATATGGAGAATATTTTTCTCATCTCCTATTCTGATGAGAGTAATGAAACATTTGTGGCCTAATCTGTACCTTTTTTCCAACAAAAGTTTTCATTTTAAAGAACCGAAGTTAAATTCTCTTCATCTTTGGATCATGAGTTTCATGTTTGTTTCCTCAAAAGATAAACTTCACAGTCTCTGCTGTTTTGCTGGTTGTCTCTACAACTACTGCTACTAATACCAGGAAAAGAATTTTTGTGTATAAATAGCAACATTAATGTTGAATTGCTTTGAGTAGTTAATGCATAAACAAAGCCATAAAGTCTAAAAAAGAATATCCCTCTACCCCAAGCCCTTGTTTTTAATGGCAATCTTCCTGTTCTCAAGCATCCATCCTTGAGCAGGATTCCAATGGATCTGTACCATCACTGGGCAGCTTGAAGAAGTTTTCAGAGTTCTGAAGTTGAGACAGTGAGTGCTGACAGATCTGTGCATGAGATTCAATTCACACATTCAGCAGCACAGGTTGCAAAAGGCCACCAAGGCCACTAAGTCCAACCTGTGGCTGGTCCCCACCCTGTCACCCTGCCCAGAGCACCGAGTGCCACATCCAGGAATGCCTTGGACACCTGCAGAGCTGGAGACCACCCCAATCAAATATCCCCACTGAGTTTGCAATGTTCAAACCCATTTATTTACCTGCTCTATCAGCTTTCAGCGTGTCCCACACGTTGCAGTTGAAGTCATCATACCCAGCTAGGAGCAGGCGGCCACTCTTGGAAAATGCTACAGAGGTGATGCCACAGATGATGTTGTCATGGGAATAAACCATCAGCTCCTGGTCAGCCCGCAGGTCAAAGAGCCGGCAGGTGGCATCGTCTGAGCCCGTGGCAAAGGCGTTGCCATTGGGGAAGAACTTCATGGGGGAGGAAAAAAAAAAAAAAAAAAAAAAAAACAAAAAAACAAAACCACAAATGGTTTCAGTTTTCATCCCTTTGCATCACATCAGAGCACAGCAAACAAGAGGCTGCACCTCTCCACATGGGGATATGAAACCCAGTGAAAAAACACAAGTTTCAGGTAATTCTCTCAGCTCTACAAACTTATTTTAAAAAACCCTGAAAACAACATCATCATGCTGAAGAGCTGAGAGCAGACAACCAGAAGATGCCAGAGAAGCAGCTACATACACAGATGGCGTTGATGTCTGACTCGTGGCCGGTGAAGGTTTGCCGGCACATTCCTTCTCTGACATCCCACAGTTTGGCAGAGGCATCGCAGGCACCAGAAACAAAACACCGGGCATCGGGGGCAAGGGACAAACTCATCACATCTCCAGTGTGCCCAGTAAATGTGGTTGTCTGCTGACCAGTTTCTATGTCCCAGAGAGCACTGGAAAGAAGAATTGAAGAGGCAAAAATCAACACCTTTGTGCTCCTTTGTAAGGTCTTTTTATCACTGCTGAAGTAAAATTCCAAGTATTAACAACATTGATACTGACAATCGAAATAAACATTTCTGGTTAACTATTTGGTTTAAAGCTATCCTTAATTTTAAAACATTGGGAGGTTTTAAATTGAAAAATACTGGAAAAAACTGGTGCCTGGCACTGAGGGCTGTTCATCCCAAAGTTCTCTGCCATGGCTGTTATCCAGTACTACCACAGCTTCACTTGAAGAAGCAGTGGTAAGGCTGCAGCAAAAGCTGAGCCAGCACTTCTCATTTTTATAAACTCACAGAGGATGAGTAACTTTGTGAATTATGTCTGATCTTAAAGCTGCAAGTCGGCCAAATCACTACTACAGTGATAATTAAGAGTATAAAAGGATGAAAGAACACTATCACCTCCTTAAGAAGAGGTCTAAACACTTCAGGAAGGGGGGATTTTTAATTCCTGTAATTTCTCAGCAAACCAGAGCCATCAGCAGCAGGTTCAAACCAGGCAAACAAGGGATGCCTGTACTTTGATAAATTCTTTTGAGGCTTGGCTAAACTGAGGTGATGTCAAGGACAGCTGCAGAATTACTACAGAGCTCCTGAAGAAGTTGTATTCTCTTACAAAGAGCAGCATTTCTACAAACTCTCTCATTTCATAATAGCTTTTTGAGTTTTCTAAACACCAACACATACTGAGAAACATTTTTGGTTTCAATCCCATACATCTTCCATAGCTACTGACAATCAGTGGACTAACACACAGGCATTCAAACAGACTGACATTGTGTTTGACAGGTATTTATTAGACAACCTTTGCTGCAAGTGCTGCTGCTTGGGAGAACTGCAATGCTTTTAAGAAATAGATGTAATAGAAAAATCTATGAAAAAAAGATGGAGGCCTTTTTTAGTTCAGAAGCCAGAATTTATGAAGATACACACCTACATTCTCCTCAAAAAACCCAGCTATTGTCACTGGAGAATATTTTCTAGGAGCTCTTCTGAGTAACAACATTAACTATGTTCTGTATTAGAAATATCCAAACATGATTTTAAGTAATAAATACTGAATACAAAAAGGGTTTTGAGGAAAATCATTAGTCTATTACAGTTATTCCTGAAAACCAAACAGTTACATTAAAAAAAAATTCCCAGAACATCTTAACACAGAATTAGGTCAGGCTCTTCAGAACATGGGCACAAGCAAACAGCCAAAGCTCATAGCTGAAATTACCAAAATTGTCACTTGACAAAAAGTGACATATGAGCAGCATCACCACAGTCCTGTGGGTGATGATGAAGTTTGTGAAGGACAAAGTTTCTTCCAGGCACAGAGAATGGATTAGAAAAGCCCTTCCTGACAGTGCTGTCCCCATGTCCCAGCTTACCAAGTGGTGTCGCCAGAGCTGGTGACGATCTGATTATCATCCAGGAAACGACAGCAGGACAGGTAGCCTGGAAACAGAATAAAAGGAGCACAAATAAGGCCAGAGATTACCCTCCAAAGGCAAATTGGTTTGCTAATAAGCTGCTTCCTTCCTCTCCTGAAGCTGCAGCAAGTAACACTAAAAGCCTAAAATGCAACAGATGATTTTTGTAAAGGAATCTGCAATGTTTTGGACAAAATGTGGGTTGGCTCTTTAGAGATCACCCTGACCCACCCAAGGGATGGGGGACAAAAGTGTGGAAGCCACTGGCCAAGCTGGGCAGGAGTCTAAGAGAGCCTGCACTGCACACACTCAACTTTGTAAGGAAGGGGATCTCAGTATCACTGCATCCAGCAGCAACGAATGTTCATGACCTCAACTGTATCAGACAAGCACTGAGGAAAAATAAACTGCAATCCTGGTCAGTACAAAGACCTGAGCATGGACATTGCATGTTCCCAACAGCAGCATCAAAGAATTTCATCTGAATGGTCTGAAGCCTCTTTTTTCCTGAAATCCCATCTGCCAAACCATCAGTGGAACCACTTTGATTACAGAATAAGCCTGCCTGCCAACCACCTCCATTTCACAAAGCACAGAATTCAAACTACAGCAGAAAATATGAAAACCTGCAAACACCAACTTCCAGCTGTAAGTTCTTGTTCAATTTTACAGCAGAAAAACTGCTTAGAAACACTTAAAACCAAGCAGTCTGCAGCTAAATTCCTGCCTGAGGAAAGAAGTAGATCATTAGTAGGAAATGATATTTAAAGGATTTTTTTTTTCACCTTCGCTGTGCTGAGGTAACTCAGAGCAGCACTCACCTGTGTGCCCAGCGAGCTCACGGCTGACACGGACATTCCCTTCACGAGTTTTCAAGTTATAAATGGAGCAGATGTTGTCCAGCCCACCACAAGCCACGTAATTCCCAGAGGGAGCATATGCACAAGTCATGACCCAGGAGGAGCGCAGGGGAATCGCATGCACCTGAAACAGAGACAGGCATGGATTGCAGCTGCAAAAATTGCATTCAGTCATGCACCACAAGGAAGTTTTTCACCTGTGTCTCAAGGCAGGCATCATGTTTTTTGGCAGAGAGGCAAGAATAAAACAGCAGTTTGAGTACAAACTATTTTGAGGGTAAACTTGCTCGTCAGAGCAAGTAGTGACGTCATAAAACCTCAGATTTGCTTTTCCTCAATCCAGTTTCATCAGCAATTTTGGTCCAAAGTGAATTATTTCATTTCAGTGCTCTGATTACTATTGGTTTATTATAGGTTCAGGAAAATATTGACTTCCAAGCACAGTCAGCAAAACTGCCAATTCCAGGCTTAGATGCTGTGAATGAACAAGTAAGGAAATCGCTGCTTCCACTGCCACTTAAATCCTTCTTTGGAAACCCACTGCAAGCAATCAAGCTTCACATTTAAATAACTACCCCATGTTTCCTTGTCATCCTGTGCTCAAAGAACTTTTTTTAGATAATTATGGAAGCTAAACCTGTTCTGTCTTGTTAACTCGTTATGTTCATCCCTTAAATTTCTTCAGAAAGTCTTTAGGAAAGGGCTGGTGCCCTTAGACATATGGTGATATTTCATGCAATATTAACAATGTGCCTGAATTTCTTAAGGAAAAATCTCATTAGAAGCAGAGCAACAGCCAGGAATTAGTGATCCTGCAGCAAAGATCAGTTAAAAAAACCCCAACCCTGTCCTAAAACCACAACCAGTTCATTTTTGGAAGTCTTCTACCAAGGAACTATTTGGAATATTCACTTTGAGGCATTTTATTTTATCATTAAGCAAAGATCAAATTGATGACAACACTGTGTTACTTCCAGTGTGTGCTGGAACTGCCAGAAGAATATTGCAGGGATTAATTAGCATTGATGTAAGAACTGAAGATACCAATACAGAAATCATGGGATGCAGTGATGATTTCACCATCCTACAGTAGCCACAGTAATTTAGATGACATTTACCTGCAGGCTGGGGTCAAAGGATGAGGATGAAAGCAAAAAGGAGACGATTTCTTTTAAATTTCAAAAATGTATTATATTAACTTTTTAGTAAGGTGATGCCATTTGCTCCAGTGCACTGATAACACTGATTTTAATGCTGTGAGGAGCTAAGTTAGGAAAATTTCTTCAGAATGAAACCAGTTCCATGCACGAGACTCAAGCAGCTCTGTCAACCAAAAGAGGCTACCTGGGAATTGTTGGCAGCCCTGTAACAGTGGCCATGATCTGTAAATACCAACCATTGTCAAATGAAAGTAAAAGTAGTCCTGAACTGCCTCATGTGACTGCAGCCACCAAGTGATGACTCATTAGAACATGTCAGTGGAGTCTTTCAGGACTCCACTGAGACAACAAATTAATCTGGCTGTGCTGAAATCTCTGCCCCTTCTGGTGCAAGATGCTCAGCACTGCCTGCTCTCTGGTAATCACTTTTCTGCAGCATCAAAATAAATGCAAACATTCTTTAGAAGGAGATCTTTCCTTGTTCTCCATTTGTGGTGCACATTTTCACACACTGCTGTGCTCTTCATACACAACTTGATTGTGCTGCAGAATTCAAGATTTGCACTTAGGATTAGGAAAGCAACAGAGCCAAAATGATGATGGGCAACACTTCCTTCTGATGCATTCACAACTGAATCACACTGCAATGGATCAGCTGGCCTTACCTTGTTTGTAGTATAGCTGTCCCAAATTATAAGTTTGCCATCCTGGGAGGCACTAACTAGAAGCCTAGGGAGGAAACAGGAGGAAAACACAATCATTGTGGGCAGCCAAGGAATACCTTTGTGATGAACATTGCAAAGAAAAGACAATGAAAGCAGCTGGTACCAGTGGATTCAGTTTCTCTTTAAATGAATCAGTAGTTACCAGGAAAGGAACAAAAGGAAAAAAAGACAACTGATAATGGTATCTACTCTATTTCCACAGTTCCTCAGAATTCATGTGGTACCACTACCGCATTTTTCAGGCAAGTACACAAAGACTGGGATTTTGGCATCAAATGTAGACTCGGATTACAGAAACACGGAGGAAAACTGGCATTCAGTGTTTCTGACTCCTCTGGCTTGTCCAAGTTCTCTCAGAATTATTAATTCCATGTGGTCCCAAGGCCTGTGCATTCAACTTTCCAGCAGTGAAGCCACAGGAGCAGTTTTGTACCCACCTGGAATCAGTCCCCCAGTGCATTGCATAAATTTTGGCCAGGTGTCCCCGGAGTGTTCTCCTAGTGCGCATCTGGATTCTCCCCACTGGGTCAATATTGGCTGTGATCTGAAGCAGGAAAATGTCACACACTGAGTTTTCCCCTTCACTCTTCACAACTAACATCTCATACACGATTCCCACAGTCCCATATTCTCAATATTGACTGAATTTTTTTTTTTAACTGCCCATTCACAAGTTATGTCATGTTGAGCAGCATATCTTTATCACCTGATGCAAGCAGCTTATTGCATTTATAAACACTCCCAGAATTTGTTTTGTTTAGGTTGTATCTTCTTAGACTTCAAGGATTTCAGACCTTTGATCTGGGTTTTCTCCTCCTGCACAGATAAATGTGGCAGACATTGAAGCAGTTTGACCTCAGCAGGCCTTATGGTTCTCATTATCAGGGTAACAACAGTATTGCTCCCAGCTCCAGGGCCGAGCATTATTTTCCATTAAGCAGCAGAAATGTGCCCTGAGTCACCCAAAGAAATCACTGCTCAAGGCCACTGCTCTCAGAAACTGGACAAACATGTACTTATTTCTGGAAGAAAACACCCAAAGGCAAAATAAAAAAAAATTGCTACAAGAGGCAAAACCAGATTCACTTGCATTCACCTTCTTACACAGCATTTTCTTTTTGTAAAGGAGATAAATTTTCTTAATTCCTGTTAAACTCTGAAATTCTTACCTGAGCCAGGGTGGCATCTGCACATGCTTTCCTAGCATCCTGCAAGAGAAGGAAATTGGAGAAATTGGATGGAGCTCTGTACATTTCTTTCTCTGTTTTATCAAGTTGATTAAGCCCCCTGAGCCCCAGGTTCAGAAAACATTTCTGCTTGTCACCCAGAGAGGACCCATCCTAACAGCAGCATTACCATAATACACTGCCTGCTGTCAACACACATTGTGCACTGAACTTTGAAATTTCTTCTTCTTTTGGGAGAAAGGCAACATGACTTTCACCACAAAGACACTCAAGCAGTGGAACTGCTTGTACAGAGGCTGTGCAGCCTCCAACCTCAGAGGTTTTTAAGAACTTACTGCACAAAGCTCTGACAAACTTTATCACTGACCTTATTTTAAGAATTTTTTTTAACTTTAGTTATGCTCTAGCTCAGACAAACTTCAGTAACCACTCATTCTGATCAGCGATTTTGTGCATTGCTTCTGTAACTTATTTTCTAAGCAATATAAAAGACAAGAAAGTAATTTTCAAGCAGTCATATGTGCTTGCCCTTCCTACTTTAACTCTGACATTGGGGAAACATTTAAGGCATCATTTGAGTCCTTCTCAAGCCACGTTCATTTGTGCTGAGGCACAATACATACTCTGATTTGGTTTTTCAGTTGCTCGGCCTCCTGGCGTAACTGGTCAAGCTCGCTCATTTTCCTGTGCTAAAGGTGTGCTCCACTGCCACCTCTGAAACAACCAGAAATCTGAAACACAGGGCACAGGAAGCAGAATTACAAGTCAAGAGTTTGAAATTACAAATCACTTTCAACCACTTCAAACTTGAAAAAAAAAAAAACGGCAGATTGATTTATTAACACAGGAATAAACGTGAAAATTTGTGTCTGAAACCTCCTCAGCATAGGGTGTTGTCACAAATGGATGTGATTTCCTTCCAGCCATAGGAAATAAAATAGAATTTGGACTTTTTTCTCTCCTCCAGGCCTCCTACCTTTTTCCTTTTCTTCATTAGAATGTTTCTGATTCATTTTTGTATAAATTCAAGTTGCCCAAGAGTGAGTAAGCAGCTAACACCAATTTTAGACATGGAAGTCAAAGCTTCCCTGCAGCTCCTCAGACCAGAGTAAGGAATTGTCCCAGCAAAGAAAAAGGATTTACACTGACACAAGCACCTGCAAAATACTGTAACAACTGTCTGCAACATCATGGTTATGAAAAATATTGTTCTGCTAGTGGAGAAAAGGAGATCACTCAAAAATGTTCAAGGTTTTATTTGATAACTGCTAAGATGTCTGAGACCCAGAGCTGACAACACAAACATGTGGTCAGGGTAAAACCAGGGATTTTTTGCTGGCTTGAGGGCAGGAGTTTGAGCAACCACAGCCATCAGACACTCTTCTCCTCTAAGCCTCTGTTTTCCCAGTATCCACAGGCACCAAATTATATATATTCTATAGAGCCAGCAAGGCAGAGGCTTTATGAAGCCACTGCAACAACCTCAGCTTCTGCCTAGAGTTCTTCAACTATTGGATGATATTTCCCACTATCACAATTCATATGGATATTTCCTATTAAATGTACAACTTATCTTTAAAAGCCTCTGCTCCAGAAAGATTCTGTTGGCATTTTCTCCAGCATTCCACATCTCTAACTCAGCTGTTCCTAAACTTTTTGTTTTAAAATCTCTGCAGCTTGACAGCAATGGAAGATGCTGAAGAAACATGCTGATGAATTTTCTCTTTTATTGCAGAACAAGATAATTGGTTCCAATTTCAAATACTACACAGAACACCTGGAGTTTATAAATTAACACTGATAGTGTGATTTTAGAACATTTTATTAGCTAGCATTGACCCTTTACTATTCAATAAAGGAAATGCTTTGCTAGCAGTTTTACATATTATTCTGTTAAGATTTAATCAGCTTATTTATCTTTGCAAGCATGTGGGGTTTGTTTTCCTCTTAAAGCCCTTCCCAAGGAGAAAGATGAGGATAACTTCCAAATTTTTATGCAGTCACAATAACAGAGAACATACTGTCAAGGTAAATTAGAGCAGTAGAACAAACTTCACTGTTAAAAGAAGCTGCAAAACAGTTTAGACTTCAATATTCCCTAAATATTTCTATCCCCCAGAACCAGACTTAGGCTGAAGCTCTCTCCATAGTAGTTATTCCAAAATGAAAACCTCTAGGAACAGATGCCAGATCTTGTCATAGCATCATTTACCATTTTTTTCCTCTTCTCCGAAACCCACAGTATCTGAGAAAAGGAATTTTAGTTGGCTTCTCTCCCAAAACCTCCACTCACACAACTCCAAGGCCCTTTCACTTCATTGTGAAACTGGGTCTCCTTCCCTCTCTCTTCTGCTTCCAGGGTCATCTCTAAGCCCCTTTAAGATTGCTTGTTCAGCTCAGCCCAAAATCCAGCTAAGACAAAACTCATCCTGAGTGCTTCATTATCCTGCTTTTCTTTTGAATGCTCTTTTGTTTCTCAAGATGTTTTGTTCATTCCACACAGCAGACAAACACTCTGGGCTGGCTGTCAGGATTTTGAGCATGTCTGCAGCTCCTGAGCACTTCACACACCTGGTGAAACACTAATGCACTGCTCTCGTCAGAAATGAGTTAATTGAAGAATAAACTGCAATTTTTCAGATCTTTCTGCTTCTTTCTATCCAGTTCTGCCATTCTCTGAGTTAACATATAAGACCATTTCCTACTAAGTAAACACTGACCACTCCAGACAAAAAATTTAGAGATGGTATCATTCCTATTTCAGAGCAAAAAAATTCCAAAACTTTTGTGTTCTGCCCAAGGTCACAGCAACTCACTGATGAGACTGCAATAGACTCAGGACACCACGAATTCCAGCTGCAGGTACAAGGAACTACTGAAGATTTTTCATGCAGCTTTATTTAAAAATACAATAGGAGGAATAATTTCACGTCAGTCAGAGCAGATATGTTCTCCTTAAAATAGCACCCATTTATTTCTGCAGAATTTGTGCACTATGAGAGAGAATTCTCTTGCATTTAAATGAAACAAAGCTTCTGTGCATGGAACAGGGAGAGGCCTAAGGAGATGAACCCTCAGCCTAGGAAAAAAGTCACTAGATAAGAAAATGAACTTTTTAATGTATCCATCTAAGTTCCCATATTGAATATAGATCCACTTTTGAGAATTCCAGCTTAGCCCCTATGCATTCCAAGCAACTCCAAACTCTGAAGTGCCTTTCTCTCAGCATCCATAGGAATTGTTTAAAGCACATTTCCACATTCTCTTTGTAGTCTTTGTTGTTTCAACATCAACAGGAAGTGCTAATTCCTGCCAACACGACTGAACTCACTCACTCAGGAAATGACAACCCCACAGCAGCCAAGGGCATTAAAATATAGGAGTTCTGTAAAGCAAACTGTAAAATTTATGGGACAAACAGCAAATCAGCTTGGCTGTTCCACTATTTCTTTTATCCTATGTTTTAGACAATTGAATTTATGGTAGAAATATGAGATCTGTGGGAGGAAAAAAGGTTTCCAGCCTCCCATGTCCTCTTTAGCTATACTGTAAATCAGAGCTTACTAGTCTTGCATTTAAAAACATATCTTCAAAAGACTAAGGACATCAGGTAAGGTCATAAGGATGTATGGGGAAAAATGCTTTTATCTATTCTCACTTTGATACATGGGAAATTTTATACAGATTTATTTATATTACAGACATGGATCATATATTGAACAGCCTCTGCTCATCACAAACAAGCACAACCGAGTATCATAAAATAGATTTTTATTTCCTGGCATGTTCTCAAGACATTTAACCCTGTTTTACAAGAAAGTTTCTAGAAGATTCTGTAAGCTCGATATGGATGATAATCCTATTTCTAGACTTTTGCAAGAAGTTACTGCATTTCCAAACCAAGCAAACCTCAAGGAAAAAAAGTCACTCCTCAAGTTCCACACTCCTTTTCCCCAGTTATCCCCAGAGTTGTGCAAAAATAGGAAGGATCCAAACTCTCACTTACCTCACTTGGGACCAAGTGAGTGTGTCCCTGAAGGCAGCTCCTCAGCAATAACACATCCACTTTCCCCAACTCCCTCCAGACCTTTCCAAGGGCTGAAGTGCTTAAGTGTCTCTGCTCTAAGCTTATTTCCCCTAATCCTGTTGACCAGTACACCTTGTGGGTAATTCTCCTCTTGCAGGATAACAATCTGTGCTCTTCACTATTGCCCACTCCCCCACATGACCCGAGTCTCTCATCTCTTCTGACAAGGCACCCATGGAGGAGTCACTTTGTTCCTGTTTCCCACAAAGGAAAATCAACTGACTTCACTTTCACATAGGACAAAACTTCACAATTCAGCTGTGTCAAAAGGATTTAGCACTTCATTTATGTCAAAGGAACAGCTCAGGGTTTGCTTTTCTCCACCTCTCTCTAACATGAGCTATATTCCTGTAAAAGGAGAGTTGTGTCCTGTCACTTGTGTGTCCAACAGCCTTGCACTACATTTTTAAACAGCAGGAAGCCTTACAGAACTTCCATGTGCTTCCTGCAAATGGAGATATACTCAGGATTCCCAGTGGACTAATTCTTATTTAAAGAATAAGAATTATTCACTCACTGCTCAGAAAACAGTGACAGAAAAATCCAAAGGCTGAGGAAGAAACTCAAATTCCCTCATTTCATTGTAACAACTCCAGTGTCCTTTCCACAGCTCGAACTGTTTATCCAATTAAATCCAGCTACTGAAACCAAGGTATCATTAACACCCTCACATTCCTTTGTACCCTCATGCTTGAGAGCTGAATACAACTCATTCAAACATGTATTCCTCTGTTAAATATTATTCCTCTGCTGGTAACAGCAATGAAGAATTGCATTCTTCATATTAAGAATTTAGTAAGCAATGAAGCTTATTAAAGAATTATTTTCTTACACCATTCCTATTGAAAAAAAAAAAGATGGAGTCTTCCACCCTTTCTCTGTCCTGAGAATAATCTTTACACATTAAAAGAAAAAAGCCCACATTTGAAATCACAGCTATCATTAAGTCAAATATTTAGAATTTCTATCCCTTGCTGGTCAAGCTTTGCTTGCCACAAGGTATTTTTAGCAGACATTACTACTACCAAAACCTAACATGATCCCACCAGGCCATTGTGGATGCACAGTCTGGTAACACAGAGGGTTTAAAAGCTAAATTGTTCATATTTTACTCAAGCACAGTAACTTTCTAAGGAGGTCTAGCAAATCCCTTTTCTCCCATGAACAGCCTGACATTTCTTCCCTCAACCTCTTTCCTGCCAACACCCATCACTCCAACATGGATGAAAAATAAAACATTTGCAAAAAAAAACCAAAAAAACCAGAGCCCAAACTTTCCAGGCTTAACAAGGAGCTCCCAGCATGGCCAGCAGACAGTCCCAGTGCAGGTCATCTGATTAAATGAAGCTGTGCTAATCTAGCAGATACCACAAATCCTATTAGCAACATGCACAGCAGCTTGGACATTTTCACAATGACAAAGGAATTATCCTCAACTCACTGTTAGTTCCAGTCAGCTGACGTCACACTGGCTTGGAAAAGCTGAGGGTTTTTTTTGTTTTCAAGAGCAGAGATGCATTTCTTGTTTCTCTTTTATTCAGTGGGAAATGCAGCGAGATCACAATTACTTGTGGAACAAATTGGAAGTGTTCTCTTTCTCGTTTATATAAACTAAAATTGAAGAAAAAATTCAGGGTCCCCTTGGATCCAGAGGGAGATAAAGGCAGAGGAATAAAGGCTGCTGCCTGCCTCTTGAAAAACAGGTAAAGATCCAGTAATGGAAAATATCAGATTTAACTCAGCAAATACTTGGCCAATTAGCAATGCTCCTCACAGACATTCAAGTTAACGTCTGGAAGGTAATGAAGATTTTACTGCTTCGAGAACAATAGTAATAATTACAATTACACAGAATATAAACTCTGAAATTTTTAGGTTCTGTTTAAATAATACTGACACATTGAAAAGAACATTGTGACAAGAGCCACTTTGCTCAAAAGAAATTTGGCCTTCTTTTGTCAAACATGGTGGAGAAGTAATTTTTCATTCATGAGAGAATGACTATTCTCATCATTTTATTTATTACAGTTCCCTGCCCCACTGAGATGAAACAGTTTCATCTGTGGTCTCCCTCTGCTTTGCCAGTTCCCTCTCTGACAGAGGCAGGCACTAACATCTATTATTTAGCAGGTTTCCTGGCCATTTTAAAATCCTTCCTGTTGACACAAGAATACACATGCTAAAGGAGAAAACAGGTACTTTAGGCTTGCACAGACTAACAGCCAAAAAATCTGAATTAATCTCTTTTTTAAAAATAGGATGTTTCTCAAAGTGTAGAAAAAAATAATCATCTTCTTTCTTTACTTACATTTTCTCTCACTATAGTAGAAAGCCAACTTCTGCTGTCAAACATGTAAATTCTGGAAAAAAAAAAAGACACCAAAACCGCATTTAATGTAATTATCACAAAAAAAGCACCAATTTCTCAACAAATCTGACAGAAATTAAACTACTATCAAAGTGCAGACTATTTCTGTTAGCTAACTTGACCAGCTGGCCTGCCTTCATGAAGGAAATTGGAACAGTTTTATTAACTGTAACACAACCAAAAGATGGGTTCAGGTCAAGCAGCTCATTTTGACCTTTTTTTCCCCAAAACTCTTGCAATCCTGAGATCATTCTCCTGCCCCAGGGATAGAGAAGTCCATGCTTTAAGAGAATTTAGGATTAGAAGGAAATACAGTCTCACTCATACAATTTTCACTGTACTACAAAGTGCCCCCCCCCCATCAGCATTTTCAACACAGTGAAATTATTTCTGTTCAATCCTGTCCCTGAGCTACATTTGCCTTCTAAGCACAGTTAAATATCATGACATCTATTTTATCAGAAGGAGTTACATAAACCTCCTACTAACGAGCTCAAGTGAGAGCACACCGCTCTTCTAGAAGAGTTACATCTTCAAATCACAAATGATATCAGAAAGTACAGAAAGAATTGACACATTCAATAACTCACACACTCACAGTCTGGACTGCACTGGTTTAACAAAGTGCCTTTGCAGAAAGGGGAAAAATATAACAAATTTCGGATCAGTTTTCTCCCCTGGCAGCACAAAGCAGTATTTTTTAGTTCACCCCAAGATGTGAAATACTGACGACCACTTCTACATCCCAAACATCTGGATGTGGCTCTGTCACACACCAAGACAAGGGCTGGGGGTGATGCCAGGGGACCCCTCAGTGTTCAAAGTCACTGCATCAGGACAGGGGAGATTATTCTGAGCACAAAGCAAGAAGGTACTGAAACAAAATGACCTGAAATCACAAAGCCAGCCTAAAACTCCACACACTTTCAACTGAAATCTCACATAAAATGCACGTTTCTGATTTTCCAGTTCACTACTAGCTGGAGAATTTACAAACCACTTCAGTGTTTGGTATGGAGGTTAAGCTACTTAGGATATGGATCATCCTCACCCAAGCTCATTTATAGATAAACATTTTAATACTGTGATTATGAAACTATCACGGTGTAAGCAGTTTTGTTTGTCACTGCCAGAACGACACATTTTGGGACATAAACAGTAACTCACACTTAGAGGCCGAACTCCACCCCCCAGACACAAAAACATGACGTGACCATTTTAAGTTCTGAAAACAGAGCAACTCCAGTCAACTTTCAGAAGTCTTGACAGGAAAAAAATTTGCCTCCACTACAGAGATAATGAAATCTAATGAAATTCTGAAAGAATTACCTGAAATGTAAACAAGTAAATTTATGCTGGCACACTAACAGCACACAGAATACACAATAGCAAAGGCCAAAACACACACCATTATTGTCCTGTGCTGCACCCTCATTAATGCAGGAGAGGTGTTGCAGATTTCATATGCTTTCTGCAAAAAAGAAAAACAAAAACAAAACAAAACAAACAAAAAAAAGCCACTTTAACCAGCCTGAAAGAAGAGGAAGGAAGCATAACAGCAAACTTTTTCACAAAAGTTGAGTTTATTTTTCAAAGGGTTAAGTTCCTGAGGATGCTGAAAGCATCACAGAACGCAGTCCTGGCAACGGAGATATTTTCAATTCTACCTTAAAGATGGAGCTCATTTAAGGACAAAAGCAGACAAGCTACTCATGAAAAAAAGATCTGCATTGCCACAAGCTTCCATTTTTAGCTAAAATGTAGCCTGGTAAAAGCAACATGAAAATTAGAGGGCAGTTCATTCCCTGCACCGCAGCACTGGCTCAGCAAAGAGTTCTTGTAAGGAGCTCCACACGCTGCCCTGACAGCCCTGCTGAGCCCAGAGCTGCAGCTCCTTGACACCAAAAACTGGGCTTTCAAAAACAGCACAGAACAAAAAGTTCCACAGAACACTCCAAGCACGGTTCAAGTGGTTAAACCATCACACCAAAGCACCTGGAGGTGAGCCAGCCCCACGCAGGGTTGGTGTTCCCAGTGTCCCCACATGCCCACAGCCTCCTGCTCCAAGTGAAGCAAAAAGAAAAAAAAAAAAAAAAGTAAAGTAACTCCAAATGTCAAAAGTGTCATCATTTCTGGGTAAAGCTTTCCCTCTCTAACTGCTGCCAGCCCAGTATCCTTTTTTCTTTACAGATACTGAAGCAATTACTCTCAGCTGACAACCCAGCCTAAAAATTTATCTCAACTCCAGCATATTCCAGGTGCAAGTCTACATAGGAAGATTTCTGCAGAAGACACCACAACTTTTTCATGAGGCTGGGGAAAGCAGGGAAGAAAAGAAAGAAAAAGGACTTGAAAGAGTATGGAAAGCATTTTGAAATATTTTAAGATCATAGGAAATCTGGAGAATACTCCAAAATGAAGCAACTTCCTAAGCAGATTAATCACACTCACTGCTCCCTCTCCAAAGCCATTACAGCATAAACACGTTTTTCTCTGGACCTATGGATTCAGTGAGAGGCTTAAAACCCAAATATTCTGGATGTTAATTCCAACTTTCTCAAGACTGCTCTACACACACACTGACTAGGTGCCAAGGCATTCTAGTATTTCAAACACACCAGCAATTCATGCACAATGATGTGGGGCCAGGCAGAGGATCTGGCTCAAACCCTGGGATGAGATTTACTCAGACTCCCAGCAGTTGTCCCTGCTGTAAGAACATGGAGAAGCTGGGAGATGTGTTCAGTGGGGGATGTAATCAATGTATGCACAGATATTTGAGTGGCTTTATCAACACAGTTTAACATGGATCTCAACCAACACTAGAAAAAAACTGATTTTCATGACCATTACACCACGTGAATCTTAACAATGTCTTGCATAACACATCCTCTTGCAAGAGTGGCACATAGGGTTGTTTCATTCAAGGCATTCAAACTAAAATAACGTCACTGGAGGGGAAGAAAAACCAAAAAAAAAAAACCCTCAAACCATCCAAAAACCTACTAGCAAACCTCAGTATTACTATTAAGATAAACCAGCAATTTTAAGTGAAGTTATTCTGCTGCTCTGCAGCCCTGTGAAGAGCACCCCTGAGCCAGCAGGGATGGCTGGATGGAGCCAGGCAATTCCTAATTTAGCCTGCAGATGCTCTTGTTCAGGTACCCAACATCATCAGCACTGTAATATATCACCTACGAGGCAGAGATAATGGCTGTGAAACCAGCAATTGCGAGTTAGTTTATTAAAATCATTTCTTACAGTCTACAAAGCTGATTATTATCACACAACAGTAGCTACATGCCCAAGAGATTACACCACCTTGCCAAATCACTGCCAGCATCATGAAATTCAAATGTGCCACCAGGCAACAGTAATTAAGTCTCAAATTCAAACTTTTAAGATTGTTCTGCATACAAAAAACTCCCTCATCCTCAGTTTAATGACTTGGTCCTAACTATCAACTTTAAGTGCTCTAGCAGACAGCTGGAAGCTCAAAGGATGTTTCAGGATCTGCATGTGCCCCTCCAAGAGTTAATTCCAGCTCAGACTTTCCTTGGGGAGTGCAGAGCTGGAGTCCAGAAAGCCAAGTCTTTGCCGTCCCCCCCTCCAAGGGTAGCTTTGAATTACAACCTAGAGAAATATAAAATAATAATTACCAATTCACCAATCTAAACACGCCGGAGCAAAAGGATACAACTCCTCCTTTATTCCAAGTCTCCTTTCTGGGAAGCATCTGCCATGTCTGTAATTTCCAAGCACACAAACTTTGAAAAGCAAGCAGTACCTTCCTAACAGGTTTGCCAAAGAGCTCACCCCGCTAGGGACAACAGGAGATTGTACAACTCCTTCGAAAACTTCCTGAAAGCACTTGTGTCGTGCAAGGCCAGCACAGCTGAATGTTTCTGTGGGAGGTATTGGCTGCTTCTTGTGCTGAAGAATTGCCAAGTTCCCAGCTGAAGCTGAGCTGTGCTCAGTAGACATTTTTCCATATATTAGTGGGAAGTACACACAAAACAAGCAACAGGTCGATCAGTGTTAATGCTCATCTTGCAGCAGCTACATTGGTTGGCTGGAGAGCTCACTAATTCCCATTTTCAATATAGTGTGTGAGTAAAATGATAATTACACAAGCTAAAAATAGCTGCAACTCAACAACCTGATTTCATCAGTGCTTCACTATTACCTATAGCTCAATAAGGAATGGCAGGTTCCATTTCTAGAGTCACTGACGTTTAGTTTTAGAGCTTTTGTGTTTTGTTTCAAGGAGAAGAACTCCAGAAATGCTTTCCTCCTAAGAAAACCTATGCACTTTTTCTACTCAGCTTGATGGATCTACAGGACCACAATAGGAATAAAAAAACTTCTCCTGGCTGCACAGAACACAGGAAAATTGTTGGCTAAAGAATAAAGGTCAGTTCTGGGGCTTTTGCAAAGTTCTGGCCACCTTCCTTCATCCTGTAACCTCATTCACACAAAACAGCACATGCAACAGGAAAAACCAGGCAGAACAGATCGACATGGAACAGCCTCCAATCAGCCAACTTCCACCAAACTGCAATTCCCAAGTTTCTCACTGCTTCCATTTGGCACTTCAGAATCCAAACTCCCACAAAAAACAAAAACCCAGAACAAACCCATCCACCATAAATAGCTGCTACTATTCAGACGAAAAAAAAAAAACAAAACAAAACAAGAAAAAATTAAGCTTTTATTTCAGAAAATTAAGGGAAGAAACAAAATATTAACAAATCTGGAAACCTTGAAATACCTTGCAAAACCCAAATTCACCAAGGCACTTTTACATTCAAAGTCCCAAATTGGAACCACTGTGTCAGAGGAACAGTGCATTTTTGTCTCCTCCAAAATATGAATAATTCACCACAAAAGTTTAACTTCAATGTTCAAATTCCTCAATATGCCAGAGGTTGTTACCACACAGTAACACAACACAACACCTACTGAAAGTCACCAAAATGCTAATCATGCATA